AGGCTGGAAGGTTCCCCAGCACTGGCCATTGCTAAAACATGTCTTGAACACTAGAACTGCCTGAATGTTTCCGCTTGCAGCTTAAAGGCACCCTGTCTTGGCAACATCTTTCTGTCTGAGATGTCAATTTGCCTTTCGGCTTGGCAACGATAATCTGGCCCCCCCCCCAAGTCCCTGTTGTTGATAGCTAAATTCAAGGTTTGGAGGGGGCAAACGGGGATTTGGTGGACTCAGATTTTCATGCTTCACTGCGAGAAAAATTGGCAGGCTTGAAACCCACCTGTGGAGGCCAGCTTCAATGGCCTTGTTCCACGTCAGGAGAAACGACTCAGGAAGGACGACAGTTCCAAGGCACCTCCGAGAAGGAGGCAACATCGTGCTCACTCCCCTCACGATGCTCACTCGACCAGCTCCACAGCTTCGACAAGGAGCGAGGAACCGCTACAGATGACCAAATTGCGCCGGCTCATGGGGCAGCTCTTAGTGAGGCACGAGGATGCCCTGAACTCGGTTTCTATGCAGGACTCGTATGTGATCTTCTTCCAGACAAAGAACTCCGGGGACATACCCTTGCTGATCCGATCAGCAAGTCAATGGCGCGACCTTCCAGACGACCAAGCTCAGACTCCCTTGCGGTGCTACCTCATCCAGGCCATCATCAGCGAACTGATCGCCCGGTTTCAGAAACTCAAACTTCAACTGGAGGACGAACAGACCAAAACAGCTGCCATAAAGAGTCAGACCATTCTGGAGGATTTGAGCTTCCCGTATCTAGTCCGGCACTCCCAGCAGCAACGACTGGTAATTGGTCAGAGTCAATCGATCTCTTGGGCCACCATGGAGTCTCATTTGGGGCTCCTACAACAGGCCTTCCAGGAACCAGCCAATTGCGTTCGGTTCTTTGCGATGGCTTCAGCTCAGAGCAAAGGAGAAGTTGTGCCTTGGAAGCTCCAGATCTCCTTGCGGAACGACTCGCTCTCCAGCCTGATGAGACAACTGGTGGGATCCTCACTTTGGCATCTCATTGGAGCTCGCCTGAAACAACACGGGCTACAACGCTCGCGGATTGCTCAGGACATCAACCAGCTCCTACGCCCTCAAGGGGGGAGACATTGAAGGCTCAATGGATTGAGAAGATTCACATCCTTCAATGTGGCAACGAGGGCAACTGGTGCTACGCTAATGCAGGCCTTGTCACTTTGATTTGGACGTTGCTCCATGCAACGAGTTTTGATGAATACACCTTTGGTACTGCTTGGGAGGCAGTACGGTCTGTTGAGCTAGCCAGCCATCCATCCTTGGCCGGTCTTTTTGAGGGGCAGACTTCGAGTGATCAGCGAGACATTGCTGAATTCACAAGCGAAGTGCTGGCATGGTGCAAATCCTCCCGGGCATCACAAGCATGGGAAAGACGGTTTGTGACACCGGATGGAACTTGCTGCCTAGAGAAAGGGGGCGACTTTCAACCTGTTGCCCTGGTACACCTCTTTGAGCTTGATGCCGAACAAACGACACTTGCTGCATTGCTTGTTCCGTGGCTCCACTGCCACTCGATGCCCACAGCATTGACACAGCGAGGAGGTCCAAAGGTCTTCTTTCTTGACCGACTGATTGATTGCGCCCGCTTGCTAGGTCATTTCCATCATGTGGACTTTTTGGTCCCCTTCCACCTTCCGTTCTTTGTCAATGACGGACTCGATCTCAATTGGGAGGAACATGTGACGGTAGCTGCAGTAGCCCATCTTGGTGATTCTCACCGTGGACATTTTCGTGCGCTGCTCCGGGAACCGGCCACAGGTGAGCTTTGGATCTGCGATGATAACAGACCGCCTGAGGCCATCCAACATGTTCCGGAGTTCTTTTACACCAGAAGTGTGCTTTTCTGGACCCTCCCCAGCCGAGCGATGGATAAATCGGGCGATGAATTGGCTCCGTCGATGCCTGATTTTTACCGACCGCTCAACCCAGGAATGGATACTTCTAGCTGGACCACACCTTCCTTCACCTTGACACAGGTTGCACGAGAGCAACTTGGCAGTGACGCCACACCTGTGGCTTTGTTTCCACCTCGGCCTCGCTGGACGCTGAGCCCAACATGGAGTGCTCGCCCCTTGGCCGATCACATGACACACAGGAGCTGCCAATGTGGGATGACTCGCACCTTCGTATCTTGGGCACGGGTAACTTGGCTATTATAAGGATCAGGCATCTCGCGCCCCACCTTCTGCAACTTGGCGGGAACAGGGAACTGCGACTGATGCTGCAGCTGCTGCTGAGCCGCCGGCTGCGCCGGCCTCGGACGAAGCGCTAGGTCTGCTGCTGCAGCAGCTTCAGGCGGCTGACCTGTCTATTGACAGGATCTTGGCCTCTACTGCTGCCCGACCAAGGCCTAGCAGCTGATGGCGTCTCCGCGGTGGCTGCCATGGGGACGGCGGATGCTGAAGTGAACGCACAACTGAGTGAACGGGCATTACGTTTCTTATCGTTTCTTTTCCTCTTGTTTCATTCTGGGTGGGAGGAGTTTGGGCGATGCGTCGAACGCACTTGCCTCGACCTTGCTTCACTCCCCCAAGCGATTAGTTCGCAGTTGATTTCTTGCATTGTACCTTTTTTGAGTCAGGCCTCAATCGGGAACACATTCAATCCCGTTTGATTTTGGCTGATTGTACAAGACTGTCGACGGCGAGTCGACGAGTCCCATGCTTGTGAAAGGATCTCCTTTGGAGTCCAGTCGATAACATTTGACTGAAGGGTGGCGCACCTCTTTGAGAGCGTGAGAAGAAAGAAAGTTGTTGTTGTTGTTGGTTGTTGTTGTTGTTGTTGTTGTTGTTGTTGTTGGTTGTTGTTGTTGTTGTTGTTGTCTGCTGTGGTTGTGCGTTGTGGTTATCTGTTTGTGGTTCTGTGCTGTGGTTATCCGTTGTGGCTGTGTGTTGTGGATGTGTCTTTGCGGTTGTGTGTTTGTGATTTTGTCTTTGTAGTTGTGTTTGTGGTTATGTGTTTGTGGTTCTGTGTTGTGGTTCTTTGTTTGTGGTTGTGTGTTGTGGTTGTGTTTGCGGTTATGTTTGTGATTGCGTGTTTGTGGTCGCGTTTCTGGCTGTGTGTTTGTGGTTGTATTTTTGGTTGCGTTGCAGTTTTGTGGTTGTGTGTTTACGATTGTCTTTTGTAGTTGTGTTTGCGGCTATGTTTGTGGTTGTGTGTTGTGGCTGTGTGCTGTGGTTGTGTGTTGTGGTTGTGTCCTGTGGATGTGTCTTTGTGGCTGTGTGTTGTGGTTGAGGTCCGGCGCAGAACGCTGCTGTCGGGAGCTGGCGGTCGAGGTCCGTCGGGAGCTGGCGGTTGAGGTCTGGCGGGGAACCGAGCCGTCGGGAGCTGGCGGTTGAGGTCCTGAGGTCCGGCGGGGAACACTGCCATCGGGCGGAGAAGCTGGTCGTTGAGGTCCGGTGGGGAACACAGCCGTCGGGAGCTGGTGGTTTGAGGTGTGGCAGGGAACACCGCCGTCCTACACTTGCGGTTGAGGTCCGGCGGCGAACGCTGCCATCCGACACTTGCGGTTGAGGAGGAGGACGAGAAGTAGCTATATAAAGCTTAACAACCCTCACCCGACAGGTGAGGAAAAATCATTGCCAGCAGTCAGGTGGCAAGATTCTTTGGCCTAACTGGGACCCAAAAATTTCCGGGGCAGTCAGGTGGCAAGATTCTTTGGGCCTAACTGGGTTCCAACAAAAATTTGGCCAGCATTCAGGCGGCAAGCAAAGCCTTTGCAGGCCCCATCACCACTAATCAAAAGTCACTGCAGCATTCTAGGCTGTTTTGACTTGACATTTTTCTGAACAGGCCTTGCCTGCCCTTATCACAGCAAACAGATCGAAAAATGAGGTAGGCCTGTTCAGGCACAACTTCTACAAATAAAAACATAAAATAGAATTCAGTCAGGGCACAGCCTCCAGACACGTCCAATCATTATATACAGGCCACTCCATGCCTTCTATTTGCTTGGTGCAAGCCCTTTTCAGGCCCCATACCACTAATCACTAATCAAAAATCACTGCAGGCCGTTTTGACACTCTAGTAGGACACTCTTGCAGGCCACTCGTGCAGGACAGTTTTATGGGAAAAACCTGTGGAACAACACTTTGGTAGGACACTTTGGGCCACTCTTGTAGGCCACCCCTGTAGTTGATTCCAACCAAATACACCAAACATAACGTCCAAACAAAAGGTGTACCTTATGTACCAATGCTTGCCGCCAGTGCGCAGCTACATTGGAGTTGGTCAGGCCCTTGATGGACCTCTGGTGTTCATAAGCCTTTGCAAAACAATGCGGTCTGCGCGCGAAAAACGTTTTCTTGCTAAAAATCATTTGAAGGGCCCCTTCTGGGGCATGCCAACTTCTCAATGGACAAGCAAAAAATTTGCGAAGGATAGTCTTCTTTGCGTGAAGAATTTGCAAAGAATTACCTTTACCTTCCCGAATTTGATCAGCAACCTGAGCAAAAGAGGGCTGTAAACCAGCAGTTTCGCAGATTTCACAGTCCCAGCAATGAACAATTTTGCTTTATGGAGGCTGGTCGGCTGGTCAAAGCGATCTACCCCGCTTTCCAAGAAGTGATTTCCAGACACTCCATGTACCGTTATCTAAGTCCAGCAAAAAGCCAATGAAAACTAAAAATAGGTTCAAACCGCTCTATGGCATGGTGGGTTCAAGGTCCACCCCAAGGTAAGGCCTGAGCCTATCCAACTCCCAAGCCAAGGCCGCGGTTGATGCCACCCCGACCCCCAAGAACTCAATCAGATGCTTTGATTATCTTTGACTTGCCCACGCCAGGTGGAAAGAGTGGAAAGTAATCTTACCGTAAACTAAAGCCAACGTTTTGAATTTAGGCTTTTGAACCCTCAAAGTAGAGTAGTTACTTTTCCCATCAGCGCCGACAAAAGTCAACTGTAATGGACCGTGATATCAGATTTTGTTTTCGGCTTTTTGTTCTGAAAGCGGCGGCAGTAAGGCACACCGTTATTGCTGGAAATGCTGTCAGACACAAGCCCCGAGCGGATGTTTCACACTATGAGCCTTGGCTTGTAAGTGGTCACATTTGTGTGGCCAATTCTTGGCAGCGTCAAGATATACAATATATAGTACATACATATAATATATCCCATATCCAGATGGATTTGCTTGAGACAGTAGTTTGTTAAATTTCCCATATCTTTCAATTATGTATTCAATGTTGTGTGCTTTGTGTGCTTTTGCAATGTTACTAGCGGAATTTGCGGAGCAAAGTCGCTGTTGCCACGCAAGCTTTTGTCGTTAGAACAGAGTGAACTTTGGAATTCATAACTGTCCCATGTTTTCTCCGAGGGTTCGTTGCGCGTTTTTGCGTACTCACTCGTTTTTATCGCGCATCTTCACTCGCATCTTCATGTGTATCTCAAGGTTCTTTTTTTGGGTGATGCTTGCGTGTGTCGTTTTGCGCTCACATGACACATGTGTATCTCAAGGGGTTGTTTGTGGTCGGGCAAGATGCTTGCGTTTGTGTCGTCTTGCGCGCGCGTGTGTATCTCAAGGGGGCTTCGGAGTGGGCAAGATGCTTGCGTTCGTGCCATCTTGCGCATACAATACCTTACTATGTGCACCAGTGGTGGCTTCGGACTTCTTGTAAAGATGTCAATGCACGTAGACAAAAGCTCTACGCTCAGTGGACAGAAGCTCTCACTGTCTGAAGCGGCCGGCCGCAAGTGCGTGCAGAACAACATGGGCAAAGGGACTCCGGCCGTGAGCCTACGCCAGCCTTCTATTTTAGCGGGGAATTCCGTGCGGAACAACGTGGGTTCTAACTAACCGCTTGGCGGAGTGAGCCTGCCACGCCCCTTTCTGTGGATTTGTGCGCATTTTCTTTTACTTCGAAGCTGCTGTCCGGCACCCTTCAGCTGCATTCGTGCGCAGGACAACGTGGGCGAAGGGCTTGGCGAAGGGAGCCTGCCACACCTCTGGCCGTGGGCTTGTGCCAAATGTGTTTTACTGAGTTTCGAATCTGCTGTTTGGTACCCTTTCCAGCCGCAATTGCACGCAGAACAACGTGGGCCCAAGGCTTGGCGGGGCTGTGCCAAGTCCTTGGCCCATGTTGTTCTGTAAGGCAAGGTGTGCAAGCCCACGGCCAGGGGCGTGGCAGCCCATGTTGGAGCTTTGCCCCATATGTCGGCAAGGTGACGCCCCGACACAGCTTTTCCAGAGTGCCTGGCCAAAGGTGAGGTTCACCCTGCGGTGTCCCAGGCGCCGCCCGCCCACTTAGCGTGCTAAGCCGGGGTCGGCGGATAACTTGGGAGGGTTTTGTCAAAGACGGTTTTGTCCAAAACCGTTTCCTAGTTTCAGGAAGATCTTAGGTGCAGAGTAGCAGCGTTCTGGTGCAAGTGCGTGCCACTCACTTCAGCTTGCGAAGCATCCAGAGTACTCGTTCTCCCGTGGCCTTGAGTTCTTGATTGCTAAGGCTGCCTTTCGCAACAGGGAGTTTAAAGTTGGCGGGAGGGGCGCGTCCACTAGAAGATGTGTGGAAGCCTGACTACGCTTACTACCGCACGTACACCGCCTTGGCTACCAAGCAGATTTCCACGGGGACTGTGTCGTGGAATGGTGGTCTCCCCTATCCCGAAACAACTGGTGTGTGGGGACAAGCAGCCGCCCAGCAGCAGCTAAACGGAACGTTTCGAAGAGGTGGAGCGCTGCAATTTCGATAGTTAGGCTCCAAGCAACCGAAGACCAAATTTAGAACGCTTGAAATGGATCATTTTGGGCATTGCAGAGATTGTGGTAGTGATAGTCAGTGATAGTGACAAGCACTTTACCTGGCAAACCCGTTCGATACCCAAACTAGTGAAAGGTTTTTTATAATTGCGACGTGTTGGCACTTCACCAGGTGTCGCTTGTGTTGCGCCCGAGCCACCCGCCGACCATGAAAATCCATCATTAAGCACTGGGCAACGGTCCGTGTTCTCCCGGGAATCCGATCGCAGCAGACACCCCATATTGAAACCGCCATTGTCACAACTTCAGCAGCTTGTGGTGTTTGGGAAACCTGCCAGGGGTTGTCGTACATCAGACGAAGCGCCAGCTCCGGTACCAGCTTCGGCAACGTGTTCATGATACTTGGAGGTTGCATTGGAGAATTCTGCGGCCTCACCAATGCCCTCTATTTGTACCGAAATGCGTGTCAAGCCGCTCTAGTGACTCCAGTGCTTTTGTCACTGCTTGGCGCCTTAAGCTGGCCTGCTTTTGACTTTTGACCTTGCCAAGCGTGAGGGCCCTATATATCTCGCACAAGACGAGGAGGAATCACAAGCAGAAAAGACACGACGCTTTCCACACCTCTTTATAATTTATAGTTGTAGCATCTTTGGTGCACTTCAATGTTCTTTTCTATGTACATGGCTGGGCCATCCGCGGTTGGTGATTTGGTCTGAGTCTAAGCGGCCTTTAATGAGCTGGATGCCAGGTGGAGCTTTGTCAGTTCTTCGTTGATGTTTCGCCCCAAGCGTCAAGTGTTTTTTTGGGTGTTTGATCAGTTCCTATTGAAGTGTTGCAGGAGCCTTCGTCCAGATCGACTATAGACTGAGCTTGCGGCATCGCGGCATCGCCGCTGGTCAGCTCTTCGAGTGCTACCGAGTCGGACCGAGTCGGACCGAGCAAACGGGGATGGCTTCGGCTTGATGCCGCTTTGACCTCGGTTGTGGAGGGCTTCGGTTTCCGTATTCATGACTGGGCCACGAGCGGCATGGAGCAACCCTTTGTGAAGCTGCAGGCTTGGGGGAGTGGTTTCTTTTGGTGGGGGCACACGCCACACGCGCTCAAGATATACAGAACAGGGACACAAATAGTGGAATGCAACAAGGAGGTCGGCATGATCCAACGCTGCAGCTTTTCATGCTTGGCTCTAGCAGCGAGCCTGAGTCTCCAAGTCTTGGACTGACACTTTTCCAGCTGGGTCCCTGTAGTACTTCAACTCAGAACGAAACCGCCCTAATCAAAGAAATGACCATTAATACCAAAATATGTCCATTTCGGGCCCAGTGCACGATTGGTGGGCAGCTGTGAAGAAGGTACTGGGACCGGGTTGAACTAAATCGTCCTGGAGTCCTGCTTATTATGAAGATTTGCATTGCGTTCAATCAGGACATGATTTGTAGCCTGCAAGAAACAGTGCGAATGATGCCAGGATACAACTATCGAACCAACAATTATCCCGCTATGCCCAAGTCCGGGATTAATTCCTTTTGACACAAGACACTCGCTTTTTGAGCATAGAGGTTGAGCGTAGAGATGGACCATGAGAACTGGACTTGACGTGAGACCATGTCATGTACCGGAGGCCCTTTTAGCACAAGAAAGGCGCGCGCTGCTCTGCCTGTGTTTGCAGGTTATGAGCCCAACGCTTTTCGTTTAAGACCACCCAGATCCACAGCGTGCGTGGACTGGTAGCTGGCTCCCATGGCAAACCCGTTCTGGTCGCAGGAACTTCAGGAGTGATTTGTGCTAGAGCAGGCGAGACCTGAAGATCTCCCAATGGTCCCTGAAGGTGACTCGGGTGTGAGCGGAGTGGGTGAGTCGGAAGAGATGATCCCTGAGGCTCACGACCTCCTGGACTTGCTGAGCCTTGATGCAGACCAGGAGAACATGGAGGAGAAGTCCCTGGATGACGGCGGCTGACGGCGGCTGTGCCATCAGTGCTGGTGAGGATATGGAAAAAGGCCCACAAGAACTCTGGAAAGACCCTGAAGAGGAGCTCCAGAAAGCCATCAATATCCAACCGGGCTGGCCTGAGGTGAAGGACAGTTCAGGTGCACAGAACCCTGCTGGTCCTCCGATGCCGCCGACGAGCTGGATGGGGAAACCTGTGGAGGGGAGAGAGAAGGCAATGGAGTTGCGACTGAGAGAACGGCGGCCGTATGAAGACCATCGAGTACAAGGTCAACAACCGGAAAAACATCAGCGACTTGATCACGAAAGCTAGCGAAGCTAGCTGGAGTTACTCTTGCGATAGCAAGGTTTCTTTCGATCGGGTGCAAATCCTAACCCCTGATTTTTCAGGTCGAAGCCCCCCCCCTCCCCACCTCCCCTTCTCCTCCTCCTTTGTCTTCCTTCCCTCCCTCCCTCCCTCCTCCCTCTTCGCAAGTTCGACTCTGTCCTGTCGTCGCTCTTTGGCATGCGGTTAGCGTTGCGTATCTTGCGGCCGCACTCGCTCACTCTCACTCTCACTCTCACTCTCACTCTCACTTTCACTCTCACTCTCACTCTCTCTCTCTCTCTCATCTCTCTCATCTCTCCCTCATCTCTTTCTCATCTCTCTCTCATCTCTCTCTCCTCTCTCTCTCTCTCTCTCTCTCTCTCTCTCCTCTCTGTCTCTCGTCTTTCCGTCTCTCTTCCCTCTCTTCTCTCGCAGGAGGATCCGGGCAAAGAGCCACATATAAAGGACTCTTCACCTGGAATCGTTTGCCCCGCCCAACTTGTGCAAGGCGTCCTGCCTTTTGCTACTCTGTCCGACTGCCTCCAAAAAGAGCGCCGTGTTTTTTCCTACCTCGCTGCCCTCCACTTTCCCATTCTGGAGCGCTAGCTTTCGCCCGCCCCCCTTGGCCTCAAGTCAGGGTAAAGGTCAACGTGATCACCTGGCTCGGAATGATGGTCATCGAAAGGCCGAAAAGCAAGAAGATCGTGGGGTACCAGGTCTACAGCTGGGAGAACATCAACGGCTCGATCAAAGTAAAGGTCGATGGGATCGCCTGGGTCGGGAGGATGATCTTCAGCCAGCAATTGAACTTCAAATGGTGGAAGAACTTCGTAGGCAGAATGTGGAGCTTCGAAAAGAGGTGAAGGCCTTGAATGAGAAGATCACTAGAGGGCAATGTCACCAAGATCGAACTCCTGGTCCAAAGACACCAACGACGGCTATGTTCACGCCGATGGAACAGCCAGTGCGCGTGAGACGAACACCGGGTGGTTCCACCGGGAACGCCGCCGCAGACACTGGATGAACCACGAGGTGAACTGCCAGAGATTCCACCTTGGCCATGGTCGAAGTTTGAGCAAGGGAGCTCAGCGGGAGAGTGGTCGAGTTGGGAACGTCGACAACGTGAACTACATGGACGTGATCGTGGAGCACAAGATTTAAACTATGGGACTATGGGTGCAGCTGGAGGCCTACGCCATGAAGGTTGTGGGGGCGGGTTGCACCGACATGCAGGTTCTGACCGCGGGGTCTATCCCCGATGGCATGAACTATGTGATGGAGAGGGAAAGGAGAAGACTGGTCCCACCTCTGGATCGATGGAACTGGAGGGCGGCAACTGGACTGTAGTGGATGGTGTGGATGCGCCATCCAATGGTTCAGGCCGATTCCAAGTCGCCCGTCTTCAGTGGCTTGAGCGAGAACTACAAGAGCTGAAGAGCAGAATGAAGACCCATGAAACCAAACATGGAGGACATGGGGTACCGGTGTGGCAAAAGTCAGATGGGTTGTGGATGCATGCAGACGAACAGCTGTGTCCCACCACCTCCTCCAAAAAGCCTGACGGGGGAGGAGCCAATTTTGATTGGGGTCCAAGAAGTCCAGACCTTTCTGCAAAAGATGAGCCGAAGGATGACCTGAGGGCAATCAATGTGACGCTTCCGAGATTGCCGTGGATGAAAGCGCCCCTCAGGCGGCTCTCAGGTGTGGAGATTGGATCACAGAGATTGAACCGCTAATTGGGGACGTCTCGGGTGGGGCAGCACGCTGGTGGGCGCAACTCATGAGTGAGGTTACTGCAGTCTACAAGGTGTGGCTGTCATCCGAGCCAAATGCAACAAGGCTTGAAGGTCGTGTAACGAGCATGTTACTGGCTGCGCTACCCTCATCGATCAAGTCAGACATCATTGCGAACCGAAAGTTGACCGCGGCCTCCATTATGCTTGAAGTCATGAAAAGGTTCCAGCCAGGAGGACTGGGTGAGAAATCCGGCCTGCTTCGGGCGCTGACGGCGCCGGAAACTGCAACGTCGCCAACGGATGGGGTGGAGAAGCTTCGTCTCTGGTCCCGAAATGTGGCAAGAGCGGTGGAGTTGGGAGTCACACTACCAGACCCAGTATTGCAGATTGGGGCATTGGACCCCATATGCAGGCAGATCGTCAACAAAGAGCCGCAGATCAACTTCAGGGTGCAATCATGGAGGCACTCCAACAATTTGGACACCACCATGCAGCAGAATGTGGTTACACGGTTTGCCCAACTTTTGCAGGCGGAGCTGACCACTGCTGCATTGGCAGGAGATCGCAAAGAAGCACCTGAGGCGAAAGTCAAACAACTTCAGCAGGGTTCCGAGAAACCTGTGACGAAAGTAGCGTGTCGGAACTGGTGTACCTCTACGGGCTGTGCGCGGGGGGGCATCATGCAGATTTGGGCACGACTGGACTGGCGTCCTGGACAAGAATGATCGCTGTTGGATATGCTCCTCATTGGGTCATCGCAAACATGAATGCCCTGCTGGGGACAAGATGAAGTCACCAGACAAAACGGAGGGCAAAGGCAAGGACATCAAGGAGGGCAAGGAGAACAGCAGCAATAAGGGCAAGGG